GGGGACTAGGGCTGGTGCTGGGCGAGGATGGGAAGCGCATAATGAATGAAGGGCATAATGAAGGGCATAATGAAGGGCATAATGAAGGGCATAATGAAGGGCATAATGAAGGGCATAATGAAGGGCATAATGAAGGGCATAATGAAGGGCATAATGAAGGGCATAATGAAGGGCATAATGAAGGGCATAATGAAGGGCATAATGAAGGGCATAATGAAGGGCATAATGAAGGGCATAATGAAGGGCATAATGAAGGGCATAATGACGGGCATAATGAAGGGCATAATGAAGGGCATAATGAAGGGCATAATGAAGGGCATAATGAAGGGCATAATGAAGGGCATAATGAAGGGCATAATGAAGGGCATAATGAAGGGCATAATGAAGGGCATAATGACGGGCATAATGAAGGGCATAATGAAGGGCATAATGAAGGGCATAATGAAGGGCATAATGAAGGGCGTAATGAAGGGCATAATGAAGGGCATAATGAAGGGCATAATGACGGGCATAATGAAGGGCATAATGAAGGGCATAATGAAGGGCATAATGAAGGGCATAATGAAGGGCGTAATGAAGGGCATAATGAAGGGCATAATGAAGGGCATAATGAAGGGCATAATGAAGGGCATAATGAAGGGCATAATGAAGGGCATAATGAAGGGCGTAATGAAGGGCATAATGACGGGCATAATGAAGGGCATAATGAAGGGCATAATGAAGGGCATAATGAAGGGCATAATGAAGGGCGTAATGAAGGGCATAATGAAGGGCATAATGAAGGGCATAATGACGGGCATAATGAAGGGCATAATGAAGGGCATAATGAAGGGCATAATGAAGGGCATAATGAAGGGCGTAATGAAGGGCATAATGAAGGGCATAATGACGGGCATAATGAAGGGCATAATGAAGGGCATAATGAAGGGCATAATGAAGGGCATAATGAAGGGCGTAATGAAGGGCATAATGAAGGGCGTAATGAAGGGCATAATGAAGGGCATAATGAAGGGCATAATGAAGGGCATAATGAAGGGCGTAATGAAGGGCATAATGAAGGGCATAATGAAGGGCATAATGACGGGCATAATGAAGGGCATAATGACGGGCATAATGAAGGGCATAATGAAGGGCATAATGAAGGGCATAATGAAGGGCATAATGAAGGGCGTAATGAAGGGCATAATGAAGGGCATAATGAAGGGCATAATGAAGGGCATAATGAAGGGCATAATGAAGGGCATAATGAAGGGCATAATGAAGGGCGTAATGAAGGGCATAATGAAGGGCATAATGAAGGGCATAATGACGGGCATAATGAAGGGCATAATGACGGGCATAATGAAGGGCATAATGAAGGGCATAATGAAGGGCATAATGAAGGGCATAATGAAGGGCGTACTGAAGGGCATAATGAAGGGCATAATGAAGGGCATAATGACGGGCATAATGAAGGGCATAATGACGGGCATAATGAAGGGCATAATGAAGGGCATAATGAAGGGCATAATGAAGGGCGTAATGAAGGGCATAATGAAGGGCATAATGAAGGGCATAATGAAGGGCATAATGAAGGGCATAATGAAGGGCATAATGAAGGGCATAATGAAGGGCGTAATGAGGGGCATAATGAAGGGCATAATGAAGGGCATAATGAAGGGCATAATGAAGGGCATAATGAAGGGCGTAATGAAGGGCATAATGAAGGGCATAATGAAGGGCATAATGAAGGGCGTAATGAAGGGCATAATGAAGGGACAGCAACGCCGCTATCCGTGTGGACCATGTGGGGTTCGGGCTGGTGCTGGGCGAGGATGGGAAGCACATAGTAGGGTTCTGCACGAGCAGCAGCTAGGTGGTGAGGAGCAGAGCAGTTGCTGCGGAATACATCCCTTCGTCTTGTTGCAAGGAAAATCAGGCTCTGCTTCCTTTTGGTTGCAATCGCTCTTACTTACCTCCTCCCCCTCCTACACCTTGTTGCAAGCGATCACTGCAATCTAGTTTTTGCATCTCACATTGAATGCTCCCTCTGCCCCGCCTTTCCCCCATCACTTCATTTTCGCCCCATCAGGTCGAGAGGGCGAGTGGAAGGAGGAGGAGGTCAGTGCTGCAGCGGCTGCGCTGGGCTATGGAGCAGTCAAGTGAGTGGCAGGATGGGATTTGGGATTTGGGATTTGGTCAAAGCTGCAGCGGCTGCGCTGGGCTATGGAGCAGTCAAGTGAGTGGCAGGATGGGATTTGGGATTTGGGATTTGGTCAAAGCTGCAGCGGCTGCGCTGGGCTATGGAGCAGTCAAGTGAGTGGCAGTATGGGGTTTAGTTTTACGAAAGGAAGCACTGGAGTTGTGGTTGGCTGTCAGGTATAGTTAAGTCTTCTCACAAATCCCTTATTTCGTAGCGCTCAAGTGCGGTCAGGTGGTAAATATGCTCGGAACGAAACTCAATGCAGCAGTACCACCAGCTGTGGGCTATGGCTCCAATTGTTGTGATTTGTGTTGATGCCCCTAACACATGTCCCCCCTGTCGTCACGTCAACCCGTGATTGATCGCAGATACGCTGATTTGAAGAACAATCGGCTCACCAACTACACGTTTGATTATGACCAAATGCTCGATATGAAGGTGAGGATATATGCTCCTATTATGCCGTTGTTGTTGTTGTTGTTGTTTTTTTTTTTTTTTTTTTTGGCCTACACACAGTGTACCTCCTGTGCTGGTGGTGCTTTTTCTTTTCAACTGCACGCCAATCGGTCCTTCCTGCTGCGCCCTCCTTCCCTTCTTTCCCCCGTTTCTCCCTTTCCTCTTCTCCCCCCCCTCGCTCCCCTTTCCTCCTACCGAGGGCAACACTGCTGTCTACCTGCTGTACGCCCATGCTTCAATGGTGAACAGCAGCTTGTTCGTATCATTCCACTTTCCTCTCCCAACCCACCCCTCCCCAATCCTCTCCCTTCCAGGGCAACACTGCGGTCTACCTGCTGTACGCACACGCACGTATCTGCTCCATCATTCGCAAGTCTGGGAAGAACGTCCAGGAGATTGTTCAGGTGAGCACAACAGAGGCTTGAGTGCGAGGTGTATCTGGTATGGTGTTTTTCCATGAGGGATTGCTCAAAATCTTCGGCTGCTAAGTGTATCGGTTTAGGTTTTTAGGCGTCTTAAAGAGCGCTTCACAATACGGTGTTTTGTGCTTATGCATCTGAATCTCTTTCTAATATGTTTCACCTTCTCGATTTCTCCCTGTGCCTCTTGTCTCGACTGGCCGTCCCATTTCTTTCGCCTGTTCAAAGTGGAACCAGGCTCAGACTGGACCATCCGAGTGCTATGCTCTTTATTGAGGCGCGTAAGACTTGGACACCCATATTTCTCCTCTCCATCCTGTCCACTTGCCTCTCTCCTTGCTCCCCCTCTTCTTTCGCCTGTTCAGAGTGGAACCAAGCTCAGATTGGATCATCCGAGTGAGAGGGCTCTCGCGCTCGAGCTCAGCCGATTCTCAGAGGTACGTTGCCTGACGCATGCGTGCATTGTGTGTTGTCAATGCACCTAGCAGGGGTGTGCATTCTCTGTCAAATTTGATTTTGATGTTTTTTTTTAGTATATATATTGAAATGCGGTTAAACTCGTTACCAACACAACAAAACTCCCTCATGTTTCCCTCCAATTGTCTTCCCGTCAGATTGTTGAGAGTGCAGTGCAGGATCTGCTTCCAAACACGCTCTGCGAGTATCTCTACAACCTCTCAGGGAGCTTCACAACGTTCTACACCAATTGCCAGGTGGTTGGCAACGAGTATGAGGATAGCCGGCTCATCTTGTGCGAATCCACTGCTGTCGTGATGCGGAAGTGCTTTGAGCTTCTTGGTATCACCCCCCTCTACCGGCTGTGACAGCTTCAGGATGATGGTTTTCGCCGAAAACGTGGATCTGATCTTTCCTAACTTTTGAAAGTCTACTTTAAGTTTGTCACTGTATTGTGCTCATTTTATATAGAGAGGTTAATGGTAAGTGATTCTAACTTCCCACGTGTTTCGCAAGTGGTGGTCACGTTCTCGCCTCGCTTCCACCGCGTCATCTGCATGCCCAACCAATAGATATCAAAGCTACAAGCAGGAATGATATGTTATTCGCTGGCAGATCCGCGATCCTTGATGGCTTTCTCTAAAATCCCCACAACCCTGGAACCTTACGAACCAATCTCCCGCACTTTCGCCATTCGGCTTCGCATTTGATTTGCTTCTGCCTCCTCAATCAATTTCCAGCTGGCGAATAATCATTTGCACTCAGGATTTCTTTACCTGGCGACCATGCATCCCACCTGGACGCAGACCCTTTCCTCGTCCCACATTCAACAGCAATTCGCCCTACCTATCTTAGCCGTCCAGATGGCATAGCAAGGAACGAAAACCATCCGATGAGAGATCTACGATGTTCGAACCCAACCGTCAAAGTGCAGTCCCGTCGAAGCGCCGAGAACTTCTAGGGGCTTGATTTTGGAATGAAATCCTCCTCCTGACCGCCCTTCCAGTCTTATTTCTCTGAAGATAGTTTTGGCTGCACTTACCTCTAATTCGGTCCTTATTCTCCTGACACAACGCAATCCCTTCCATCCCTACTCAGCTTGTACAGTTGCGTCCCTATCCCAACATCTTCGTTCAACTTGACTTTGTGAGCTGTCGGGATAGTGTTGTGCTGGAAGGGAGAATTACCTTTTTCCATCTTCACACATAACCAGTTGCTTCTCTACCAACCTCATTAGATAACACCAACCTGGTTGTCGGTGGAGCCGGCTAAACATAGTCGAAACTAGTTAAAAGTACATATCAGTGCATTACAGTCATAACATCCCCTTTTAAGATTCACTGCCCGTCGCAGAGGCGCGGCGCGATCCACGCCTCCGCGTGTAAGAAACTTTCCTCTCCGACTCAAAAAAGTCGCTCGGCTCCATGGCGACCACCACCCTCCCGTCCGGAGTTGGCCCGCTTGCCACGTGCCGACAATCCTGCCACATGGACAGCCCTTCATGCCGCACCGCGTCGTCCTCCGTTGTTGGGAGGACAGCTTTGCGAAGCGCGTTTGGGGGAAGGGCACTTGGCGGAAGCTCAACTGCGGGGCTACGCAGCTGGCGCGGGAAGAGCGGGAGCGGGGGAGCGGAGAGGTTGCGCGTGAGAGCTTTGATGGAGGAGGAGGTGGATGTTGAGGGGGAAAGCATTGCAGACGACTATTACTCTATTCTCGGCCTGGTACGCGAAATTGGTCTATTTGTAGCAGACTTACGGGCCCGCCTTTTTGCTACTGTACTGGAATGAGGGGCATGCATCTTGGGACGTTTATTTAGCTTTTGCTTGGTCAAAACTATAGCTTCTCTACAGAACTCGAAATTCAGTCGTTAAGTTTTTATCCGTTGGCAACGGTCCTTTTACTTGCCCTTCCAGACGTGCGACGCGACGCCAGAGGAGATCAAGCGCGTGTACTACGCATGAAGGCGTGCCACCCGGATCTCAGCAACAACCACTTTAGAGTTCTTCCTTTGTTAACGTCACTTTCCTCCCCCTCCCCCTCCCTCTCCCCCTCCCCCTCCCCCTCCCCCTTCACCCCCCTCCCCTCCCCCCTTCTCCAGACGTGCGATGCGACGCCCGAGGAGATCAAGCGCGCGTACTACGCGTGCATGAAGGCGTGCCACCCGGATCTCAGCAACAACCACCCCGACAGCGTCACCTTCTGCTCCTTCGTCAACGAGGTCTACGAGGTGCGTTATCAAATCTTCATCCTGTACGCATTAATGAGTTATTTGCAAAGGGATGTCGTTTTTTAGTCTTTACGGCGATTCTCTGTCTCTGCGTCATCGTAATTGTTGCTCTCGTTGTTTTCTCAATACCAAGTTCTTCTTGCTTCTTCCGGTTGCTATCATTTTCCTGGCAATATAGGTACTGAGTGATCCCGAGATGCGGCTCGTGTATGATGAAATTAAGGGTTATTCGCTGACGTCGATCAATCCGTTCATGGACACGCGGCACGAGAAAGACCAAGTGTTCGTCGACGAGTTCACGTGCATTGGTGAGTAACCGCGTGTAACGAGAACGCGGTGTAGTATGAGATCAGGAGCGCCCTCATGTCTTACATTAAACTATATGCTGTAAAAGCACGTTTCGTAACTTTCCGTTTCCACTGCAAATGCTCGATCTCCCATATGAAGTCCTAATTATATTTCTGTTCCTCAATATCCCCGTTATTAGGTTGCAAGAACTGTGCTAATACCGCGGAGGATACATTCGAGATTGAGGAGATGTGGGGGCGAGCGCGCGTGTGCAACCAGGGCGGCAACGCCCCCTCCAAGGTCCAGGAGGCTGTTGAGACATGGTCAGTCAACGCGGGGGTCAACGCTAGTTGTTTGTTGGGTCAAACTAGGTCAAGCTTCAGCTTATGCCCTGTGCTGTCAAATCACGCTGAGTCAACGTCTTCTCTCAGTCTCACTCTGCACTGCTTGCTCTCCCCCCCTCCCTCCTAACCCACCCTCCCACACCCTCCCTGCTTCTCTACCTCCCTCCGTTTCCCACTCTCCATCCCCACTGCCCCGTGTCATGCATCCACTGGGTCACATCAGGCCCCTCTGCCCCTCTGCTGCTCTCCCCCTTTGCCCCTCCCGATCCCTATTTCCATCCCCATCCCCATCCCCATCCCCATCCCCATCCCCATCCGATCAGCCCCGTGTCATGCATTCACTGGGTCACATCGCCACAGCTCGCTCTGCTGGAGGACGAGATGAGGCGCATGGAGCGAGTGAGCGTCGCCATCATGCACGCTCATCTTTCCTCTCACTTCGCCCCTGCCCCCCTGTCCCTCTGTCCCTCTGCCCCTCTTCCTCTCTGCCCCTCTGCTTTCCTGCCCGTATGCCTCTCATCCCATCAGCCCCGTGTCATGCATTCACTGGGTCACATCGCCACAGCTCGCATTCTAGAGGACGAGATGAGGCGCATGGAGCGAGTGAGCGTTGCCATCATGCACGCTCATATTTCCTCTCTCTTCGCCCCTGCCCCCCTGTCCCTCTGTCCCTCTGCCCCTCTTCCTCTCTGCCCCTCTGCTTTCCTGCCCGTGTGCCTCTCATCCCATCAGCCCCGTGTCATGCATTCACTGGGTCACATCACCACAGCTCGCTCTGCTGGAGGACGAGATGAGGCGCATGGAGCGAGTGAGCGTCGCCATCATGCAGGCGCAGAGCAGCCGCGGGGCTGATGTGTTCATGCAGGCGAATTCCAGATGGGAGAAGCGACGCAATAAAGCGCTGGTGAGTTGGCGGTGTGTGGTGGCATTTTGGAGTAAGGATAGATGCCCTACCGTGAAACTCCTCCTGCCCGTATTCTTCAGTATGGGGCAAAAGGGCCTTGTACGCCCCTTCCTCATTACACACTGATCCTCCCCCCAACACCCCCCACCCTCCCTCCCGCTTTCCACCCCCACGAATTTTCCTAACCAAAACCGCCTGCCTTCGCAACAGTCCAAGGGACGGGAAGGCAGGCAAGTACAACAAGCCACTGTGTGGCTGTGTATCGCCCTTCCTCATTCAACCTCCTCGCTTCCATCCCCTCTCTCTTACCTCAGTCCAAGGCAAAGGCGCAGGCAGCAAGGGACGGGAAGGCAGGCAAGTACAACAAGCCGCTGTGGGAGACCATGGGGGAGGCCATGGGGATGGGCGGGGAGCGATCATCCTGGAAAGGGGACGGGGAAGGTGTTTATGATAAGGCTGCTAGCGGTGCTCCTATCAACCAGGAGAAAGTCAGGCGGGCGGCAGCTGCGGCTAGGAGGTGGAGGGAGTATTCGAGACAGGGGGTGGATCGGAGGAGGAGGATGTTCCTTGCTGCTGAGTCAGGGGGGTCAGATGAAAGCGCTGGGGAGGAGGAAGGAGGCGAAGAGAAAGTGGAGAAGGGGAAGGGGAAGCAGGCAGAGGAGAGGGACAGGGAGCCTGTTGCTTTGTAGGTGTGAGAAGAGATGATGAAGCAAGTGGTAGCAGGAGCTTGGAGGTGGAAACATCAGGAGAACGGTATCCTGTAACAGGCTGGTACAAGGGTTTACTGTGTTGGTAATGGCTTGGGGGAATTAGATGTAGCATGCCGCTTCTGGGCCTGTTTCTTTTCATTGTGAAGTCAAGACCAGCAAAGTAACGTGTGAGTTCATAGGGTAACATTGTATGGATAAAAGTTTCTCTTGGTTCAGAAGACTAGAGCCGCGTGAGCTGATTAGTGTAAATACCATTCTCTAAAAAAGAATCAATGCATTGACTCAGAAATGGTATCAAATACCCTCATCAAATCTCCTTGTGTATTTATGTTGTCTGCTAACCTACTATAGAAACCAGTTACTGGCACGCGAAATGACATCAGATGAGGGCCTCCAATAGAAATTAAATTTGTTTTTATTTAACAATGTCACACTTCAGCCTTTTCAAGCTGCGCGGGCAAAGATAGACTAGCTATTTGCCGTCCTTTTTCTTCTTGGGCATGCGGTAACCACCCACCACACACGCGTGGTCTCTTTCGTATGGCTCCAGCGTCAGCTGCTCAGCTGGCTTGAACTGCTCCTGCTGCAATTTCGCAACTTCTTTCGCGAACACTGCTTCTGCGGGTACTGTAGAGTCGATACAGTTGGCCTTGATGCTTATAACGAAGTGGCCGCCTGTCTTGAGAAAGTAGTGACCGTTCAAAGCAACAATACGAGCCTGAAGGAATTTATAAAGAGGGGGGGGGGGGAGGGGGGGGGGGAGGGGGGGGGAAGTGGAAGGGGGAAGCGAGAGGGATGGCAAGGGGAGACAAATGATAGGAAAACGGGAGCGGGGAAACGAAAGGCGGGCTTGGGGGAGGGAAGAGAGAAGACGAAAGGAAACAGGAACCAGCAGTAGGACTACCTGATGCGACCACAAGTGGTAAGAACAAATGAAGGATCACAAAGCAATGAGGGTTTTGACAATGGAAGTAATGCTAGTCTCAGGCTGAAACAATTTTGAGGAGATCTGTTAGTCGTGTGGGGTAGGAGAGTGGGTCGCAGCATCAGCCTCGAAGGACAGAATTTCACGATTTTACATTCGTGTATGGGGAATCCGACTCCAGTCCAATCATCATTTGCTGGCCACTCTCCCCCCATAAATCAAGGGAATGCTTATAGCGGGTACCGGGAAGAATCGATGAAAAGCTTCAGGAGCTATAGGCGGAACGACGGACACATACCCCATTGCATTTTTCTGAATATCACCTGATCAAATCATAACCTTGAGCTGCATCAAACCTTGCTTCAGGTAAAGAAAAGAACCTGATCTGGTTGTGCCACGTCGGCGAAGATCGTATCCACCATGCCGACGAGCATGCGGTAGCGCTGCGGGTGCCTGGCGTCCTCGATAATGGGAATCACGTTGGTTCGCCTCTTGGCCATGTTAACGAGATCGCGACCCGACCGGTGAGAAAACTCCACGGCGTACACGATTCCCGTCTGAGGAAACGAAGGGGCGGAAAACAAGACGCAGGGAAATCAGCGAGTGAAAAAAGGCAAAACAGAATATCAGGGGAAGCTGGCGAGCGGGGGGGTTCAGGGGGGGGGGGGGCGGGACGGGGACTACATGGAAGTTTGGTTAGAAAGCAAACAAGACCAGCTACGAGATAAAGCACATAAAGAGACGGAGGAATTGTGAGCAAAATTTATCACTGTTAGTCTCGTGGGATAGGAGAGTGGGTCGCAGCATCAGCCTCGAAGGACAGAGTTTCACGATTTTACATTCGTGTATGGGGAATCCGACTCCAGTCCAATCATCATTTGCTGGCCACTTTCTTCCCTTGTATCAAATAGTCGTAAGTGAAGTTCTTACCGGGCCAACAATGTCGGAGACATGGGAGACGGTAGTACCCGAGGCAGCACCGAGGTAGAGCACGTGAGACCCGGGTTTCTGCATGAAATCAACGAGGAGAGGCGTGAGTTATCAATACACAGATTTATAAATCACTCCCCCTTAAGAAATTAAAGAATGACACCAAATGCTTATAACGAGGACGTACAATCCAGATGTTGTCGACGCCACCGAGAATAGCGGCCGCGAGCTTGGATCGGAAAGGGTTCCACACTCGGTACTCCACCTTGTTCCCTTCCTCCAGCTGCAAGGGTTTGGGACGACATGACGAGTTGGTAAAAGGCGAAGTTATTATGTCGGTAAACGAGTGAAAGAAGTGACGAACTAAGAAATGGCAAACGAGGCAGTCACGCTAAAACGAAAGACGGGTGTACAGAACGTGAGTGTTTTAAATCAAACGCACCTCAACGCTGATTCGCTTCTCCCCGTAGACGCTCTCCCCGGGCACCATGTTCCTCGTGACAAGAGCATCCTCCTTCCCGCGAGCAACGAACACGCCCTCGTGGCGATGGGGTTCCACCACCACCTTCGCTCCGCCCTTCATTCCCCCGCGCCCTCCGCCTCTTCCGCCTCCGCGGCCCCCCCGCATACCCCTTCCGCCCCCTCGGCCCCCGCCACGCCCGCCGAAACCCCCGCGGCCTCCACCTCCGCCCCTTCCGCCGAATCCTCCGCGACCTCCGCCGCCGCCTCGGCCGCCGAAGCCACCGCCGCCGAACCCGCCTGAACAAAGAGTAACAGAAAAAAACGAGCACATGAATGGCACGTATGATAACAAAATGGTTTTTTATGGACTAAAGCGTTGAAGGTTCCGAAATCGACAATGCAGCGTTTTATAAAAATACGCGCCGTCAGCTGACAATAATAAAGACGAGAAGCCGGCGCGTACCTCTCCCACGAGGAGGCCCCATTCTTCAAGACACGTGGACTATCTGTACCAAGAAAGAGACTCAGTCGTGCCAAGCCGCTGTTGGGCCGCGTTACTATTCTAAGCTCAAGAATAGATACCGCCGAGGCTAACAGGCAACAGGGTCGAGCGCGGAGCAAATATGACTGGCACTACTACCTTGGAAGAAAAGGAAGTAATGCGAAGCTGCTTATGGGAGTTATGGGAGGGTTGGGAGGCAAGGGGGTTGCTGCCCCTGAGCCGGGTGGAGGGGGAAGATGGCGATTTTAAATGGGGCAATGGGAGGATTTTCTGTTCACGTTCCACGGTTCTATCTGGTTGTTTACGTTCGAAGGCGGTAAATATTGAGAAGCAATGTCTTCTACGTGGAGACGTAAGGCACCGTACTGGAACTACCACGACCCCGAGACAGGGTTTCTGCTCTGATGGGACAGGGTTTTTTCAGAACGAAGCAAAACCCGGGGCACAGGTCTCTGAGGTGGTTGCCACCGATTTGTAACAAACGGGCGATTTCGCGAACACAGAAATGTAAACCAGACAGTTCCAAGTAGCAAAAATGTGTAGACAAGTCGTTCTAATAAGGGAGAACGAGGTAAGCCTTCTGAAAACAAACTGGCATCCTTATTAACATCTTGATGATTTTCCACTGCACTCACGCACATCCGGATCCTAGCTTAAGACTAGCATTTTGCTCCTTCAAGTGTCTGCCTATTCTGTGGATGTACCGTACAATTGACTATGATTGATAACACAGTAGTAGTACAATCAAACACCTTGAAAGCCTTCATATTCACGCAATCTGAACCGTCCATCCCATCGTGTCCGGATCCACGCCCTTCTGAATGTTAGTAAGCCGTTCATACAGCAGCTGTGAAAGCTTCCCTGCTTCTCCGTCGCCGAATGTAGTCCTGGTTTGGGTGAAGGGGAGAAAGGGGTCAGTCAGCTCAGTATGACGGATCATGGTTGGCCCAAAAGAGGAGAAGTTTATACAAATACAAATGATTCGACTGAACACGTTAGAGAAAGAAAGAAGAACAAAGAAGAACAATAAATAAATCCTTGTCCACATGACCATCAACTTACTTGTTCCCTCTGAATGTCACAGCGCCCACAGGAGAGAGCACCACAGCGGTCCCCGTGCAGAACACCTCATCCGCTCCCAGCAAATCCTCAATCGACACCTGGCGCTCCTCCGTCTGCAAGGTGATGTGAGTGGATGGGAGGGTGGGCTGAGTCAACCTAGATGGCAATTGCATCGTAGCCCAGGGTCTGGGCGAGTTCCAGGAAGCTGCGGCGGGTGCCCTAATGTGACTAGACAAGTGCGTTGACCAAAGGGCTTTCTACCAAGGGATTGACTCTCTACTCTGCAGTCAACCCAGAGAGCACTTGCCTTGTAGCCCAAGGAGTGGGCGAGTTCAAGGATACTGCGGCGGGTGATGCCTGCGAGAATGGTGCCGCGTAGGTCGGGAGTGGAGATGACATTGTCCTTCACCACAAAGATGTTGCACGATGACACCTCCTCAATGTACCTGATGGACAGAAACAGACATGGGCAGTGAGAACACATTGCGAACACTCAAGTCCGTGACAACAAATATGTTGAGGGTGGGGGTGGGAGGAGAAGGAGTGGGGAAAGCGGCGGTAAAAGAAGTGATATGCACACAGCAACAGAAACATCAAAAGCATTAGCAGCAGCGGCAGCAGCTGGAACAGCAAGAGCTAGAGCAAGAGCAAGAGCAAGAGGCAGAGCAAGGACAACTGCATACTTGTTCTCTTGAGAGCATCCAGGTCTACTTTTGAGGCGCCTCAAAAACAGAAACATCAAAAGCAGTAGCAGCAGCAACAGCTGGAACAGCAAGAGCCAGAGCAAGGACAAGTGCATACTTGTTCTCTTGAGCATCCAGGTCTACTTTTGAGGCGCCTCAAAAACAGAAACGTCAAAAGCAGTAGCAGCAGCAACAGCTGGAACAGCAAGAGGCAGACCAAGGACAGGTGCATACTTGTTCTCTTGAGCATCCAGGTACACCACATCGGAGAACCCATCTTGCTTCGCCGCAATCTGAGTCTTGAGCACCTGAAAAAGCAGCGAGATTGGAGGGAGGCAGAGAGATTGGAGGGAGAGAAAGGTGGGAAAGAATGGAGACGAAAAAGGGATGACGGAGTGAAGTGGAGGGAGGTGGTGATAGGTGGCTAAGACAAAAATGGAGTTCATTCTACAGGAGGGGCCGTCAGATTACAGAGTATCACAGAGTACCACGGGGGGCAGCGTGGTGGTAGAGCTCCTCCACCTTGAGGGCGATGGGCGTGAGCACTGCACAGCACAGCACAGCACATCACATCACACCACACCACACCACACTCACCGGGGAGTAGTTCCCAATGGCCTTGGCGCTGCCAGTGCCACCAGGGGCAGCGCGGTGGTAGAGCTCCTCCACCTTGAGGGAGATGGGCGTGAGCGTGGCACAGCACCGCACAGCACATGACAGCACACCACACCACACCACACTGCACCACACTGCACAGCACAGCACAGCACAGCACATCACATCACACCACACCACACCGCACTCACCGGGGAGTAATTCCCAATGGCCTTGGCGCTACCGGTACCACCGGGGGCGGCGCGATGATACAGCTCCTCCACCTTGAGGGCGATGGGCGTGAGCGTGGCGCCCTTGAAGTAGTTCCCCACTGGCGACACGTAGATGAGCAGGGAGTACTCTGGTGCTGGTGCCAGCCCTAGCACTGGTCCCGTGCCCACCAGCAGTGGCCGGATGTACAGCGCGCCCTTGCCACATGGCGGCACCTGATTGGCCGGGAGAAGGGAGAGAGGAGAGGGGAGAGGGTGGGAGGTCGTGATGGGCGGTGGGGCGGGTGCGAGGAGAACAGGAGCGGGTGTGCAAGCCTGTGTCCGCTCTCTGCAGGCGCTCCTGAAGCAGTTCCCCACCGGCGACACGTAGATGAGCAGCGAGTACTCAGGTGCTGGTGCCAGCCCCAGGACTGCCCCCGTGCCCACCAGCAGCGGCCGGATGTACAGCGCGCCCTTGCCACATGGCGGAACCTGATTGGTTTGGGAGATGACTGAGGGGAGAGGAGGAGGGCAGGAGATTGTGATGGGCAGTGGGGCGGGTGGGAAGAGAAGAGACGTGGGCGTGCAAGCCTGTGTGAGCTCTCCTGCATGCTCCTTACATTCTCTCTCGCTCGTTTTCTCACCTCCCTGGCCCTCTCTCTCAACCCCACGTCCCTCAACCCCCTCCTCGCACCTCCCCTCCCTTCGCCCCATCCTTTCCCCGCTCACCCATCGCAGGTTCGACAGCACAGTGTCCTTCACGCCCTGCACGAACTGCTCCACGGGGGTCACAGCGTGGGCATGCAAGCCCATCAGTGCTCTCCTGCATGCCCCACGTTCTTTCTGCCCCGTGTCTCTCTTCTACCTTCACCCTTCAAGTTTCCTCTGTCACTCACCCATCGCAGGTTCGCCAGCACAGTGTCCTTCACGGCCTGCACGAACTGCTCCACGGGGGGAAGTGATCATACAGGCCTACTGTGTGCCCTCTCTGGCCCTTCTTCTATCAACCCGCACTTTTCTCTGCTCTCCCGAGCCCACCCCCACGCGCTCACCCATCGCAGATTCGCCAGCACAGTGTCCTCCACCGCCTGAACAAACTGCTCCACGGGGGGCCCGGGCATACTGAGCCACTCCGCGCTCTCCTGCATGCGCCCCTGATCCTTCCCAATACCCCTGCACCCTATCTCAACATCTCCCTCACTCACCCATCGCAGGTTCGCCAGCACGGTGTCCTTCACGGCCTGCACGAACTGCTCCACGGGAGGCCCGGGCATGCTGAGCCGGTCCGCGCTCTCCTGCATGCGCAGGGCGTTCTCCCGCGGGCGGAAGAGCAGCACGCGCCCGTCCGCCGTGCGGTACGCCTTCATGCCCTCGAACACGCCCTGCGGGGGGAGTATGGGGGAGCAGGAAGGGGCGCAGAGGGGAGCCGGGGAGGAGGAGTGCGCGGGGGAGGGGGGGGGGGGGAGAGGAGGAATGAAGACGGGGGTATCGACACGGAAAGAGGGAGAGAGGATGAAGGGCCCTTTAGGGGAAAGGGGTGGTACGGAGAGGGAGTGGTGGGCAACAACAGAGGGACACTCACCCGGCCGTACTTGATCACGCCAGAAGCCGGGCTCATATTAAAATTGCTGTGACTGTTAAAACTAGGCCGATGTGTGATCTCTATTCATTCTGGGTGTTCGCACACGCCTGTTCTTCGCCCATTGCTGTTGCGGCGCCACCCTTAACGCACCTGGCCGTAGTTGAGCACGCCAGCAGCGGGGCTAATCTCGAGGTTGCCGTACGGCCGCAGCTCGCCCTGTTGCCACTCCTCCCCGCGCACGCACTTGGCGACGTACATGTAGTCCGTCTCCACCAGCCCGAACCCTAGATCGTCGAAGTTAATCGGCGCGTCCTCCTTCACCGCTAGCGACGACGGCGACTGAGCGCTGCAGGGGCGAACCAGAAACGCGCGGAGATGGCCGGCGGGGGGAGAGGGGGGGGGAGCGATGGGGGGAGGTGGGTGCGGGAGCGGATGGTTAAGGAAGGAAATCAGCGTCAATGCGGCAGCAGATGAATGTGTTTAGTGCAGAGTTCCTAGAAGCTGCTGAAAACAAACTGGCGGGAGAAATCAAGGCCTAAACACCCAACTGTCTGACTCAGAGGTGACATCAAGGAAGCAGGAACTGGCCGATCAAGTAGATCAGGCGCGAAGAGACACACCATGCTACATGCATGCACAGACATGAACAGACATGAACGGACAGAGACAAGTGACTGATCATCCGCACCTGGTGGCCTGGGACTGCTGGACAGTAGCTGTGGCTACAAGGCGAAGACACCGGGATGACGACGCCTGCACATTGAGGAACATTAGGAGAACAAAGCGAAGAGGGGAAACAGAGGAACCATGAACGAGAGAAGGGAACGGAGGGTCTGGATAATCGTGTGAGCAAATGAAACATGCATTTTGCTATTACAGAAGCGCACGACGCGAAATGCACGACGACAAGCTGCATTGCGACACAACGATGAAAATAACCCAATAATGAGTCTTCAGGCATAATGCCTGATCCTAACAAGGAGGGAGACAGGTGCATACTTGCATTTTCCCTGATCCGGGAAACGACGCTTTCCGATCATGGCGAAGTGATAGAAGCGAGGCCGTTTGGTTCTTCTGAAGTCGTCCAAGCCTGAAGCCATGGTGGCCTGCAAGCGCATTGCTGGTGGTAGCCATGGTCGTAGCTGACAGGAGATATCGTTTCTGATGAGGTATCAGCGACGTAGGAGCGCGAAGAGCAGGATCTAGCCAGCGATAATACGGCCTGAGATTCACGCGCAGCCAACAGCAAATGCTGGACGGGCAGGTGATGCAGCGGAGTTTGCGAAGTATGGTTGCTGAAAAGGGCTTGGCACGGGGAGTGGACAATCCAAGTAGCTTTTTCCCTGATGCCTGACAGTGTGGTTCGCGCTGACAGGGTTTGTCGTCTGAAAAGGTAGTTCTTGGGATTGTCGCGGCACTTGGAGATGTGGTGATGAAGAGGTTCTGTGATTACTTCTGGTGGTGGAATCGTACAGGTTACCAAAACTGGTAGAAGTCGGGTGGGAATGGAAATGTTTTTGGAGTTCCTTTATAGGGAGTTACGTCGAGGTACTACTGACACTTACGTCATGCTGAGTGACGCAAGAAAGGGACACTTCTGTTGGCTCATGGTGGAATTTTCTAGCTCGGCGTAAACCCCGACCCAGACTAAAACCCTTGACGGGCAGGGCCAACAAACGTATCCCCCGCAGCACAGCAATCTACACCCTGTACACTATTAAGTGACCTTGCTGCTGTATATGCGTTTGCGTACGATAAGCTGTGTACATATAGCGAGTTACACTTCTTAAGGAGGGCCGACCGACTTCAGGACAGACGGTAGCCGGGAATCTGCGCGAGATACACACCCCTCCAGCCAGTCGATTTCCGTCATCTGAAACTCTCTCGTTTCCGTCAGCTGCTCCGTCTTCTAGACGGAACAACTTCCTTTCCTTGGCTGTGCACTCAGTCAATATTCATCAGACAAACGTCGCAAATCCGGTAATACGCACGGCTTAGTACGTTACTGAGGGATTGAGCGCCTTGCAGCGTGGTGAAGAGCCAAACTTCTGCAACACAACTCAGTGCATGCACCACACCATTATGTTGTGTGAAACGTTTTTGAGAGCTCCTACATACTTGTTGCACTTCCTTCCTTTCCAACTTCCAACCGTCGGAGCTTCTAGCATCTGTGCCTTCTAGGCCACTTCACTCCCCGTTCCTGACTGCTGTCGCGGACTCGCTTCCTTTCTTCGTGTTTTCGTCTTCTATCTGATCGCTAAGTAGACCTCCGTTTGTCACTGTCGATATTTCTCCAGCGTTCCTCAGGCGTGTCGATCGTGTTTCTTGTATTTAGTCACGCGAATTCAACCGAAGATGATGCGGGTTGCGGGTGCACGGTCGCAAACTCGGCTGGTAACACTTCTACAGCGTGGTTACCACAAGAACGTCGTTGACCATTACAACAAACCTCGTAATGTTGGATCGTTCAACAAGAACGACCCGAATGTCGGCACAGGTCTAGTGGGTGCTCCGGCTTGTGGTGACGTCATGAAGCTGCAAATCAAGGTCGACGAAAACGGAAAGATTGTCGATTCCTGCTTCAAGACCTTTGGGTGCGGATCGGCGATAGCTTCTTCTTCCGTCGGTAAGTTGATTTGGTCGTTGCATGCTCAATTTCGTTCGTGCCGTTGTCGCTGCTGACAGTGCTGTAACCCACACGTAGCGCTCGCGAGAAGAAAAACGCAATCTTGACTCATTGCCCTGTGCTAACACGCTTTTGTCGGTTCCTGCAGCCACGGAATGGGTGAAGGGGAAGTCAGTGGACGAGGTCATGACAATCAAGAACAGGTACGGAATGCTTTCTTTCCACGTAATTCATTCGGCGTGCCTTCTCTAGTGTCACCTTTCTGCCTGTCCATACACGCCCTTTTCACAGGCACCACCGAGCCACTGCTCCAGAACCTCACCTCATGATGTATTGCCCTCGTTTCTTGATCCCGTTCTAGTTTCTTGATTGTGGGTTGCAGCCCACCATTTCGTTTTACTTTCCACTTCAACATTGTCCTCCGCTTGTTTCCTCCTGACCATCTTTTCTGCAGTGATATCGCCAAGCATCTCTCCCTACCCCCAGTGAAGCTGCACTGTAGCATGCTGGCAGAGGATGCGATCAAGGCAGCAGTCAAGGATCTTCAAAACAAGAGAGGGGTAGCTGATAGTGAGGATGTAAGTGCTGGTGCTGCTGCTGTGCAAGCAGCTTGACTTCCTCCTGGACACTGGATGCTTGAAGGTGCTTGTACAGTTTTGTAGTGAGAAGTCTGCTCTTTGATCTCTTGATATTTCCACCTGCGATGGGTACTTGCTCCACTGTTAATGCTGATAAGGAGGGGCATTATCTTTCGGATTGACATGAGCCTAAACCCTATCATCAAATAAATCAAGAACAAACATGGCACACCCAGTCAACAACTTCTCCTGACAGTCATTAGGTGCTGATTGAACATCACTGTTCTGTCATCCCACCATTCCAGTAAATTAGTCGGCTGACAGCCACCTGAAGCTTCACCTAGCGTGTTGGTACGAGCTGTCATACTGAGCTGAGGGATCATGATCTCATCAGCAGCCAGCCAGGTCAAACACCCTCCCGGTCTCATTCACGTTATCCAGGATATCTCAGCTCATGCTTCTGCTGGCATTAGAACTGGCTGCCAGCTGAGGGATCATGATCTCATCAGCAGCCAGGTCAAACATCCTCCCGATCGCATTCACATTCTCTAGAATCTCCTGAACCGTCCTCACATCCCCACCATCACATCTCAGATGCGTCATCGGCCCATGCAGGATCTTGTTCATCATACCCCTGCTCATCTCCTCTAACAGCTTCCTCTGTTTCGGAGTTACCTCTTGCCCCAGCTTCGCCAGAACCCGGTTCACTTCCGCCTGCCGAATACACTCGATCTTCTCTCGTAACCTCTTGATTGTTGGCACGCTCTCTAACGAGTCCCTCCACGCCTCAAACGCCTGAATCTCCTCCTCTATAATCACCCCAGCCTCCAGCGCCTTCCGCTTCCTATCCTCCTTATTAGCCGCCACGACTTCTTTCAAATCATCCACATTGTATACCCGAGCATGCCCCACGGACCCAACGCACGCTCCCACATTTCTCGGAACGGAAATGTCCACGAAATGGCGCACTCCTGCTGTCAGTTCCCCCGCCAATGGCAAACCTTCCACGTTTTCCTGATGGAAAAGTAGCTCCTCTGAAGCTGTGCTTGTAAACACCACGTCTGCTTCACCTGCTGCCTCCAACAACTCAGACAGCGGCCGGAAAACCAGCGTTGCTTCTGGGAATTCCTCTCTAAGTGCCTCCACTCTCGCCTCTGTCCGATTCACCACCACCATCTTATCACACCCTTTGGACAGCAAATGTTTAACTAAAAGCCAGGACATCTTCCCCGCGCCGACAATCATCACCCGTGCATCTCGCAGCCCGTTTTCCGGAAGCTTCATGGCAGTCAGCTCTACAGCAGCAGAGCTCACAGAAACGGCTCCAGACGCGATGCTAGTCTCGGTCCGGACCCGCTTTCCCGCCTCGATCGCTTGTTTGAACAGCCCGTGTAGATTCCGGCCGAACCCCACGTTCCCCTGAGAGACTTTGAAGACTTGTTTGACTTGAGCGAGGATCTGGCCTTCTCCCAGGACGAGGGAATCGAGTCCTGAGGCGACGCGGAGGAGGTGGTGGGTGGCGTCTCGTTGACGCAGGATGAAGAGGTGCGGGCGGAGTTCTTCGGCAGCTACTCCGCTTGACTGCATTGGGGGGGATTGAAGGGGAGAGGGGGGATGGAGAGAGGGGGAGAAGGAGGAGAAGAGGGTAAAGGAGGTGGTATTGAGTGGCGTCCCACTGGCGATTAGATGACTACGAAAATGCATCAGGCGAGGGATTTATTTGGTGCGGGAGGAATCCTTGTGGGAATGGAAAGTGAAAAAAAGGGGAGGCGGGATTGGGGAAAGGGGGCAAACGGGGTTGGGGGGAAAGGAGGCGTTGGTTAAGGGGGGTAGGGGGGGGCGCAGGAGGGAGCGGTGGTAGAGTGGTTTGCTGTGAAAGGTTCTACATTTGGGTAACGGAATTTGACTGCGTTCAATGACTAGATTCGCCTAGGACATGGCTAGACTCGCCTCACCCACCTTAGACATCCACTGGGTCACTTCGCGGATCCCCATGTGCCACGACCGCGCGACGACGTAGATCTCCATGCGATTGCACGTGCTCAGCACGGCCGCCTCCTCGATGTGCGGACACGCGCTCAGCTCGTTGATAGCACGTGGCCACTCGTGCTCCGGCACCGCAAGCTTCTCCCGGAGCTCCACAGGCGCTGTGTGCACGCTCAACCCTATAACGAGGATACTCGACTTCTCGCTCGTGTACCCTGAAAATAAAACGGCAGGTGCAACGGTGAGGAACGAGATATTGAGGATAATGCGAGAAGACAGAGGTCTACTGTTTGAATTGCGGATTGACGGCGAAAGGAACATTGAACCGAGGCCTCAATGAACGGAACTTACTGTTTCCGTTTGACACCCGGATTTGGTCGAAAGCCAAGGAACTGGGACTAGATGATGGCAGAGGGCGAAGCTGTTTAACTTTCGCGACGGAAAATGCAGCGGAGGTTACGGGGCGGGTCCCTCGCGACACGGAATTCTTGTCTGACGAAGGAGAATCCCTCGATGCTGAACGACGGAGGCTAATTGAACTCGAAGCGAGACGCAATTGCTCTCCTAGATGCTCCTTCTGGGTTAGTTCGGTCGTCCCGCGGGTTCCTGTGGCGGGTGAGGTTAACGAAGTCGCGAGCTTGAAAGACGCTGCCATGGGTTCGGTCGGGATTCGGCAAGGCGTACAGACTGACCAAGTAGACACGCCGGCGCCGCGTTTGCCTGACGTTCCTAACGCAGTAATTCTGTTTTAAAGCGCCTATGTGTAAACAAGAGTGGAACAACGACGCTTGCGCGACGACCAAGAAGCGGGGAGGAAGCGAACCGTAGGACCGATCAGCTGCAAGGAGAGTAATGGGAAAACAGGAATAGTGAGTATTTATGGCTGCGTTTCTGGTTCCGTTTCTGCGTTCTTGTGCTTCCTTTTATCTGCCTAGTTCAAGATGACTCTTTCAAATGGCCACGATGACAGCGCGGCGGTGGCGCGGGGAGAAGTGGGCGGAAAACACGAGGAGGAAGAGGGGGAAAGGTGGGGGGGGTGTGGGTGTGCGCGCGGAATGCCCTCGCGGAACTGAGGGGTGCGGAGGGATTTTCTTGGCAAATGGGGAAGGAATGTGGGAAGATAGGGGGGGAAAGGGGAGAGGGGACAGCAGCGAGGGGAAGCCCGGGGTTGACTGGGCCACAAGGATGGTCTTCGGCGGCGGTGGTGGTGGTGGTGAGGTGACTGGTCTGCAGGGACCTGGGAGGGACGTGAAAAGCGCATACGCTTCGGGACAATTTCCAGGTCGATCCGTGAGCTGGAATTCGCGACGCGTTGCTGGCACCAAAACATCGGGCTTCAGCAAATCAATCAACGCCATAAGAGCAACAGACGATATGTCTTCTGCAGGCGCCGAAAAGCAGTTGGAGAACGCGGGATCTTCCGGATGGGAGCATGTGGTCTGTCGCTTTTCTCGTGTGCCGCAGCCTGTCAACTCGGCTCACCGACAAGCAAAATCTTGAGAGCCGAGGAAATTGATTGGCTGATCAGATGCTGGGGGGGTCGGTGGGGGAGGAGCAAGGGGGGAGGAAAGTGGAAGGAGGATGTGAAACCATCTATCGGTGATTCGGTATAATGGCTGGATTCGGTATTACTTGAAGGAAACATCTAAAATCGTGTGTAAAGGCTTGAAATTGGGGGGGCTCGACCAAAGGAAGTAGAGGCGAGGGGGGGGGGGGGGGGGTGGGGGGGGGGGGAGGGGGGTATAGTGGAGGGAAAGAATCAGATATGCACATGCACAATCTGATACGACAGCCGGTTAAAGTCGCGATGCAAATATCAACTTTTTTTCAAAGGTTTATAAGTTCGAAGAAGGGTGATCCATTAAGGGCGTGGAACATTTTTAACGACTATGTCAAATGGTCGCCCATATGGTTGCGTCAGGCGAAAGCGAAGGGTGTAACAGAGATGCGAAGGTTGCGAGATTTATATGTGATTCTGTTCGCCAGAACGTAGGCCACTGTCAAGAATGAAAGTGTTGGTTTGACTAAGGTTGGTTGGGGTACATAAATTTAACCCTAATAGTTGTCCCCCCTATAACACACATCACTAAAACTACAACATTTGACACACCCCCATAGTCTAAGTGAGGGGTGTCAAGCAAAACCAAAAATGTACGGTCACAAGACCAATCACAAAGAAACAAAGCTCAGGGTGGATCACAACGTCACCACGCACTCCGAGCACAAGCAAAAGAGCCACAAGGCCAGTTCGAGAGTTCACAGAGGTATATATAAAGCGTACAAACAAAGCAAGCAGAGAACTCAAGACTACGCAAGGCGAGAACCTGAGTCAACGAGACCTAACTGCACACAATACCTCTGGTGGTCACAAGGCGGAAGCGCCTTGGTGAAGATGTCTGCAGTGTTGGCCTCGGACTCCACAAAGTCGAAGCGAGCCTCTCCACGCCTCTGCAACTCTCGCAGAAGAACGTACGTGACGTTGATGTGCTTCACTCTGCTCTCCAGTCGCGGCTCTCGACAGAGGAGAATCGACGCCTTGTTGTCAGTGAACAAGGTCGGTGCAGAGCTCAGCCGCTCACCAAGGTCGGTGAGCAAGAAGGTCAACCAACGCAGCTCCTGTGCAGCCATGGCTCCAGCGTAGATCTCGGCCTCAGCAGTAGAGGACGAGACCGAGGAGGAACGCGTGGACCTCCACGAAACAGCTCCAGAGCCCAGGCTGAAGCAGTACCCCTGAGTAGACCTGTGAGTCTCAGCGTCGTTAGCGTAAGAAGAGTCACAGTGTCCAGTAAGTACAACAGACTGCTGCCCTCCAAAAACCAGCCCCACGTCTGATGTCGTCGCTAGGTACTTCGCCACCCTCACAGCAGCTGTCCAGTGAACTGGACGGTGTCTCCCTGGCGCAACAAAGCGAGCAAGGATGCTGAGAGGGAAGGCGAGGTCCTGGCGAGCACAAGTCATCAGGTACATGAGGCAGCCCACAAGCTCTGCGTAAGGACCACTAGGCTCAAACGGCTCGTCAGGGAAGGGTCCAGTGAGTTTGTGGTCAACAG